TAGACTAGAGTCTCACTGTGTCTCCCATGGCATCACAGCTCACAGCTACCTCAAACTCTGGGCTTAAGTGATCCTCTTGCCTCAGCCTCCCAAGTAGCTGGGATCACAGGCACCCACCAGGATACCCGGCTGTTTTTTGGTTATAGTTGTCATTGTTGTTTGGCAGGCCTTGGCTGGATTCAAACCCACTAGCCCTAGTGTATATGGCTGGTGCCCTAACCATTGAGATATGGGCACCGAGCCTACTGATTTTATCTTTTTAAAACACCAAATTTTTGTTTCATTTGTTTTATTACTGTTCTGGGCAGGAGTTTTCCCAATTTCCTTTATTTTGCCCTGATTTTTATCTCTTTTCCTCGTACTTAATTTTGGGTATGGTTTTGGTTTGTTCTTGTTTTTTTTTTTAATACGGAGTCTTAAGCTGCTGCCCTGGGTAGAGTGCTGTGGTGTCATAGCTCACAACAACGTCCAACTCATGTTCAAGCTATCTTCTTGCCTCAGATTTTCTATTTTTAGTAGAGATAGGGTCTCGCATTTGCTCAGGCTGGTCTGGAACTGATGAACTTAAGCAATCTACCTGCCTTGGCGTCCCAGAGTGCTAGGATTCCAGGCATGAGCCTCTCTATGCCTGGCCTGTTCTTCCTGTTCTAATTTTAATTTTTTAGAGCTAGAGTCTTGCTCTGTTTCCTAGGCTGGAGTGCTGTAGGACTATCATAGCTCATTGAGCCTTGAACTCCTAGGTTAAAGTGATCCTTCCAAAGATTACAGGTACAAACCATGACACTGACTAATTTTGTTTTGTTTTTAGTTTTAGAAAACTAAAGTCTGGAACACACTGGATAATTATTATTGTTATTATTTTTTTTCTTTTTGTTTTTGTCAGGTACAAACCATGACATTGGCTAATTTTGTTTTGTTTTTAGTTTTAGAAAACTAAAGTCTGGAACACACTGGATAATTATTATTGTTATTTTTTTTTTTCTTTTTGGCTGGGGCAGAGTTTGAACCCACCACCTCCAGTATATATATGGAGCCGGTGCCCTACTCCTTGAGTCAGAGGCACCACTCTATTATTATTACTATTTTTTTTGAGACAGAGTCTCACTTCGTCACCCTCGGTAGAGTGCCTTGGCGTCATAGTTCACAGCAACCTCAAACTCTTGGGCTTAATTGATTCTTTTGCCTCAGCCTCCCGAGTAGCTGGGACCACAGTTGCCTGCTATAATGCCCAGCTATTTTTTTAGAGACGGGGTCTAGCTCTGGCTCAGGCTGGTGTTGAAACTGTGAGCTCAGGCGATCCACGTGCCTTGGCCTCCCAGAGTGCTAGGATTATAGGTATGAGCCACCACGGTTTAGATTTTCTTCTTAATTTCTTCATTGACTCATTGGTCATTCAAGAGCATATTATTTACTTTACATTTGTTTGTATATTTTCTGAAGTTCGTTTGTTATTGATTTCTAGTTTTATTCCATTGTGGTCAGAAAAGATGCTTGATATGATTTCTACTTTTTTGAATTTGTTCCTCTGTGTTTTCTGGCCTAACCTGGTCTATTCTGGGAAATGTTCCCTGTGCTGATGAAAAACAATGTATATTCTGCAACAGTTTGGTGAAATGTTGTATATAAATATCTGTTAGGCCTAGTAGGTGAAGTGTGGAGTATATCTTTGTTGATTATTGTCTGGGTGATGTATTCAGGGGTTTCCAACCTGTAGCCTGTGGGCAGCATGCAGATTATTGGAGAACTGTTTTGCTTATCTGTGGTGTTGGATATCACAAGAAGTATGTATGGAACTTTTCTTTTGCTTATCTGCTTTCATTGGTGTTTTTGTATTGAGTGCATGGCCCAAGACAACTCCTAGTCTTTTAATGTGTGGCAGAAAAGAAAATAGGTTGGACATGCCTGAGTCTGTTCTTGAGAGAGAGATGTTAACGTCCTATACTGTTATTATACTGCGGTCTTTCTCTCTCTTAAATGTATTATATCAATGTTTGCTTTATATCCTTGGGAGCTTCAGTGTTGGGTACATAGATATTTGTAATGGTTATATTCTCTTCTTGAATTGACCTCTTTATTATTATATAGTGACTCTTTTTATTTATTTATTTATTTTTGAGACAGAGTCTCAAGCTGTTGCCCTGTGTAGAATGCCATGGCCTCACAGCTCACAGCAACCTCAGACTCTTGGGCTTTAGCGATTCTCTTGCCTCAGCCTCCCAAGTAGCTGGGGCTATAGGTGTCTGCCACAACGCCTGGCTGTTTTTTTAAGTTGTAGTTGTCATTGTTGTTTGGCAGGCCCAAGCTGGATTTGGTCCCACCAGTTCTGGTGTGCGTAGCTGGCACCCCAGCCGGTTGAGCTACAGGCGCTGAGCCTCTATCTTTTTTTGAAGTCTTTGACTTACAGTCTGTTTTATCTGATATTAATATAGCTACACCAGTTCTTTTTTGTTTTCTGTCGCATGGAATATCAGAGTGCTAGGATTACAGATGTGAGCCACCGGGCCTGGCCTCAGTGTTGATAGTTTGGAAGTAGCTGTGGCAATTTCCTATAAGAAGATGATCATGAAG